GTGTGTGTGTGTGTGTGTGTGTGTGTGTGTGTGTGTGTGTGTGTGTGTGTGTGTGTGTGTGTGTCCACTACTCAGATGTCACTGCCATGTGTCGGGCCGTGTGACGGGTGTTGTGGTCTGAAATGTCTTCACGTGTGTTTGTGTGCCTTGACTACGGAGTTAACACGGGGGGTGTTAGGGGAGGGGCGTTAGGTCTGGGGGAGGGGGCAGTTTGCTGCTGAGAGGGGGAGGTGCCACGAGGTGAAGGTGCAGCCATGTTTCTTTTCTGTTGACTGCGGCGGTGACCTCTGGACTGAAGGGGGGTTGAGTCCAGGGTGGAGATGAACGTTCTGCTGCAGGTTTCAGGTTCTGTGGAGCTTCAGGTTCTCAGTGAGCAGCAGCTGTGGTCTTCATCAGCAGAGTGGGGGTGGCAGGTGGACAACTCTAGAAGTCGTCCCCAACACACTGTTCAGACGAGGGAGGAGTTTACTGAGTTTACTGCACATCTCTGCAGAAGAGGAGAATAAAGGACACGTGTGTTAACGTGCACTAGCTGTGTGTCTCTCTAGTGTGTGTGTGTGTGTGTGTGTGTGCACATCTGAATTATTTAAAGAAAGCCCCTTCATAGCATGCAACATATAAGAGCATGAATGTCATGAATGATAAAATGATGCTGTGTCTCATTAAAACTGACGACTGTTGAATTCAGTGAATTGAGATACAGATGTTTCCTGGGAATTTAAAACACTGATTCAAACATTTGTCATAATTCTCTAAAAGAACAAAGAGTTAAAAAGGTTCAAGTTTTATCTTGAAGCTGAAACATGTTTTGAAAATGTTTCATCTTGTGTCATGTTGACTTTGTTATTTTCTTCTGTGTGAAGACAGATGATAAAAACAGGAATCTGCTGTTTAAAGTGAAATATTCACAGGAAACGATCGTTATCAAATCCCCTGAAATCTGCGGCTCGACGTCGTCACTCGTCGTCTCTGACAACAACAGTGGGTTGTGTCTCCGCTGCACAGCTGTCCAGCTGTTGTATCTTGTTGTGTGTGTTTTGTAATTCTGCTGTTGTAACCGACCCCTCCTCTTCATCTCTCTCGCTTTCTTCTACTGAACGACTTCTCTGCATGTAAGTAACAACCAGTGACAGACAAACACTTTGCTCTTCTTCTTCTTCTTCTCTGTCACTGCTCAGGTTTCACTTTTGTTTCTGTTGATATTAAAACAACAGAAGTTCGAGACAAAACTGAAACGGTGGAGCTCAGTTTGTTGTGACGTTCATCTCAACCCAGCTTCTTATAGAACATTTACACCTGGTGTTAAACTGTAAAGAACTTCATGTTGAACCGATGACGTCAGAGTCTGTACTGTGGTAACGACACAAACATCTTTACAAACATTTATTTAACCTCTGATTATCTAGTTTGGTTCCTGTCCCGTCTGCTAACATGGAGGAGGTTCATGACCTTGTTTGTGACACATGTTGACACCAGGTGTAAATGTGATCAGGTTCAGATCTAGATTTCAGACCAGTTTTAATTCCAGGTGTAAAACAGTAAAATAAACGGTTGGTTCGCCATCAGTGTGAACAGCTGCTGCTCTGCAGAGCCCAGGGACTTGTGGGTATTGTATTTCACTCGTCAGCGCCCCGAGACGGAGGCTCGTGTTGCAGAGTTCTGCTCGAACGCGTGATTCACTCTGCAGCTCAAACTGAGCGTCACAGCATCGTTCAGATGTTTCATAGAAAATAAACCGCAGACGTTAAAGTGCACGTTTGGTTCAGATGATTTATGATTTATTTATTTATTAACTTATTCAAATAAATGTTTCGATCACATCCTCAGGAAACGTCTGAATGAAAAGTAGAATGAAAACATCTGTGTGTTCTGACCGTGTCTCTGAGTCTCATCCAGTCGTTCCAGATGTGATTGGTTCTTCACTCGTCTCCTCTCGCTCTCACTCTCTCTCTCTCTCTCACCTCCAGTGTTCGATCAACTAGATCTGGTCACGTATGAGGAGGTGGTGAAGCTTCCTGCCTTCAAGAGGAAAACCCTCGTTTTGTTAGGTGAGTTCATTATCAGTTATTTGAATCATTCATAGATTTATAAGATGACGTGTCTGAGGCTGTACAAGAGACACTTATATGGAGGAGGACAAAGAGGAGACAGAAAGAACAAAAGTTTAGATGAGACTCAACCGACAGAGAGAGGGCTCAGAACTCTTGTTGAACGTGTTCGATTCCTCCGGTCACTTCGATTCTGTCAGTTTACAATGATCAGAGGATAAATGTTCAGTCAGAGACTCATTAGGATCGAAAGTGGAACCATCACAACTCGTCCATCTTGTCCCCTGACGTCACTGTGTCTCCATCAGGGGCTCATGGCGTCGGCAGGAGACACATCAAGAACACGCTCATCACCAAACACCCCGACAGATTCGCTTACCCCATCCCACGTGAGTCAAAGTCCCTGAAGCATCATGGCCGCTGTGCACGACAGGAAGTGTAACCTCTCGCTTCCTGTGTCCGTCCCACAGACACGACCAGACCTCCGAAGAAGGACGAGGAGAACGGGAAGAACTACTACTTTGTTTCCCACGATCAGATGATGCAGGACATCAGCAACAACGAGTACCTGGAGTACGGCAGCCACGAGGACGCCATGTACGGGACGCGGCTGGAGACCATACGGAAGATCCACCAACAGGGACACGTAGCCATACTGGACGTGGAACCTCAGGTGTGTGTGTGCGCGTGCATGAGGTTATGTGTGGTTGTGTGTGTGGTTATGTGTGTGTGTGAGATGTGCTGAATCTAACACCTGATCTCCATCAGGCCCTGAAGGTCCTGCGAACAGCAGAGTTTGCTCCGTACGTCGTCTTCATTGCTGCACCAACAATTACACCAGGAATCAATGAGGTAACAACACACACACACACACACACACACACACACACACACACACACACACA